GCTGGCCTGTTAAACCTGTCTTTTCTATGTCAATCACCACCCCCTTAGCAGTACATGAAATTTGTCAGCAAATGTGGTCAACTGAGCCATCCATTTCCTGCCCCACTTAAACCCAGCTTGCACATCAATTCTGACCGGCAGAGCCCCATCTCCTTCTGTCAGTAAAACACTTCCAAGGGCCCCATTAGGTGACCCTGAAACTGGCTCTCGCTCACAGCATAGTCTGCCCAAGAGCAGCTGTTTCTTTGTGGTGTGGGTAACTATCAATTTCCCAATTGCATACAGAAAAATAAAACGAAAAATGCTATTATGTACAGCAGATAATTTTTTAAAGGGAGGAAAGTAACCTCTGAGCTTTCCTTGTATTTTGATTTATGGTCACAATAATGTTTTAGAGGTCAAAATGGGTAGCAATGTCAGGAGCATTGAAGTGTATATTGATCCAAAGCCTGCAACTTGCTAATTCAGTTCTTTACAAATACCAACAGCACTGTTTTACAGAGGCAAGTGGTCTGAAATGTGATTTCTTACTAGATAAAAATAAAAATTGTATAACATTGAGAATTATATATTATTTGCCTTTAGATACATGATCTTACATTTGGCCTCTCTGAAACACTAATTGTTGGCCTGAGCACATCTTACCAGGCAATCCCCATCATTCTGTAGGATAGTCCTCCTCAGTTTTACCACTTCTCCAGGCTCTAAGATTTATAAACTATCAATAAGGATTTAGGTCTTTACAAAAAAAAAGATGTATAAGAAGTCTAAAACTGGTTCTTGAAGCACAGTAGAAATATGGCCCTTCTCCCGTGATTCCCCATATATAATTTTATGTTGAGATCAATTATGTAACTATTTTTATTCCATTGAAGATATGATTGTTATTCATAAATTGAGTGGTCGCACAATAAAAGCAGCCACAGACTAGTCACCTGGGTTCTTCTAATCCACAGGAAATTCTCCAGAAGAGCCCTGGTGGCGATTTCTAGTGTAGTATCATGTTATGAATTGCCACCGGTAGATCATGACTACGTCAGCGGGTCCAGGCCCCGTGTATTCTGTCAGATCTCAAAAAGAATTGCATCAGGCTGTACCCTAGCTGTACCCTCATCCCTTTTAGGATGCTCTTTCCATTTTTTCATTGTGTAGAAGTCCTAGCACAAATAATTTTCTTTGACAGTTTTCAGATCTCTCTGCAGATATCCTTGATTTTCTTGTTCAGTGATTTAAAACGCCATCCTTAAGAATGTTGCATACAATACTGTTCTATCAGTTTGATTTTTGGATATGTCTTCCTTATATTCACACTGAAATCTTGATAATAATTTTAGGTGTGTCCTTTTCTTTCTCCTGCACATAATCTGCTTGTTTGTCTGTCTGTGTGCACTTACAGAATACCTCTGGGTACTGTCTTCTGTCTGAGGAAAGATTACAAGTCCTACTCTTTTCTAGTTTTTTGGTTTCCTTGGTGGCCAGTCCTTTCCTTTCTTGAACCTGGAGTTACAGTGGTTCCCTAGGCAAGTTATGAGTGTTTGCCAGCAAGCTGCTGGCTTCCTTCCATGGAGGAAGACAACCCCAGCCTAGGCAGGGCAGTGATCTCTCCAACAAGGGCACAGTCCCACCATACTGGGCACAGTAACACAGAGCTGGGCTGGTGACAATAAAAGGTTCTGTTGACCATCCAGCAGGCAAATGCAAGGTGACAAGTCAGATCCCAGGTCAAAGACAAGTGAAGAAGTTGGGAACAGCAGGGGAGAGGGCTGGGCACAAGCCTACCTACAGCAGAGCTCAGGCAAGGCCTGGGGTGAAGCCTGGACGCAGCGCCTGGACCTGTGCGCTGAGGGTGCAAGCTGGGTATGGCACTCTGGGGCTGCTGGTGCGCTTGGGGCACCATCAGCCAGCCTTCTTGATCTTCCTAGTTTTTCCTCAGTGTCATTACAACCCTTTCTCTTGTACTATTTCTGTCAACAGCAACTTGCCACCCACCTGTGCTTCACACATATGAATCCAGCAGAAAATATGAATGAGCACAGTAGAAGAGAAGAACATTTCCAGATCGAAACCACTGTCTGTCACCGGCCCATCACAGTATCCTATGTAGAACTATGTCTAGGAAGAAAGATAACATGCAGACATCCAGTTTGGGTACCTACGCTGAAGTGCTAGACTTCTAGTGTAGTCCAAGTAGGAGACAGCGAGCATCTTTCTGAGGGCAAACTCCACCTACTGTCTTTTAATCAGATGACACTTTTTTTTTTGGGTATAATTATATTATGCATAGGTAGTGGAAAAGATCGTTAGCACTGGGAAGAACAAAAAAACAAGTGAAATGGGTCTTATTTAGTCAAAATATTTTTATTTGGCTGTATTTAGCAAAAGGTTTGCTTTCCTCCTTCTCCCTCCCCTCTATTATTTGCTTGTTATTTCTGATTTCTCATACTTCCATTCTTTCAGTACAATATATTAACACCTTGCACCTCTTCAGCACTTTCCAGTTAAGGCTCTCAAAGCATTTACAGACATGAGTTAACTAATCCTCACAACAATCATTAGCAGTAGGGAAGTAAAATGATCTCCATCTGCAGAGAGAAGTTAAGATCAACCTTTTTTCAAGTTTTTCTTTGATTTTCAGTGTCCAGCTTGTATTATGCTGGGCTTGATGAACATATGTATCCCTGCAGTTGTGTTTCATGCTTTTGAAAGAAAGGCTGTGTTTGAGCACTCAAAATCTAAAGCTATTTATGAAAATCTGTCTTTAGTAACTTGTTGAAGGCCACACAGCAAGTGAGCAGCAGAATCCAAAACTGGGAACAAGGCAAAACTTCCAGTTATGTGCTATACTGTGAGACGTAACTCTTTGTAACTTACCTTTGGACTTTAAAACCACAATCCATTCCCTTCTCCTTACACATTGTCCTCTACTGACCATTTCCAGCAGACTTCAACCTCAGGTACTTACATTCTGCATTTTGCTAGCAATTTTACATGAGGGTCTCCACAGTCGTCAATTGTATACGGTATACAATACCTTTGGGTGACTGTAATGAGCCTTAATGGAAAAAAAAAAACCCAAACCCAACAACTTAACAAGCAACAGGTGTGGATTTTATCTTTGAGTATTTAAAGCAAACTTCAGAGTTTATGGAAAAATGTAATATGTGATTGTTTTAGGGAAAACACCCTCTCATCCCCAAACCTGGTTCAAATGGAAGACTAAATATTAACTTGACAGTAATACCTTCTTATCAGTAGTGCATCTCCATAGAGATTCTTCATAAAAACCTGCAAATTCACAATTATACCTTGCAAACAGAAGTACTATGACTGTTCAAGCAAACACTAATTTTAAAATATCCATTCAGTTCATTTAAGTGCTATCTTCATGTTAGCTCCATCAGAAGATACTGGCATGAAACACAGATGAAACTTTTTCTTAGTTAGGTTAACACTGAAAATTCAAACAGTCAGACAAACACAATGCAAGTATTCTAACAGAAACAATATAAAATTTCACTGGCTTAAAAAAGATCTAAATGAGAAATCTTGGTTATTTCAATGAATTGCTAGACCCTACATTTAAAATGATGCATTTACAGAACTATTCAGATGAATTAGGCTTCTTCTGTAACACTAAATACTGGAATTCTGATAGATTGTGCAAGTATTAAAAAATATTAACATTTTAAATGTTAACATTACAATCTTAAATAGCCTTACAAGTGCAATGTTATAAATATAAAAAAAAAAACCTCAGAGCTACAATTTTATATAAGTTATATGAGTAAATGAAAGTGCTTTTCAAGTATTTATGTTCATTTACAGTCAGATTCTCTTGTATAAGTCAGTGCTCAGATGGTACAATTTAAGTAGCAGTCTTTTTTTTAAATTTTGGATGCATACATTTAACTGGATGGAATAAATGGTTTCATTTGCAGAAATGCGTGATAAATATTTAAATACAGAATATAATTTGTGATAAATATTTAAATATGGAATATTATAAAATGTTAATATTCTATTTTTTGTTATCTATTAAAAATAAAATAAAAAGAGATCACATCCTGATGGGTGTGTGATGACCTGATAATGCCATGGGAGCCCTTGAGCCATACAGTAATTGTTAATTCCATCAAAATCCCAAATTATGATATGCTAAATAGTTGTTCTTCGGTAGAGACAAAAGCATGTGATCATAATGGAGGCCCAATACTGTCAACGTTTGAAGAATTTAAAAGATCTTATGATCTGTGTCAAAAGCCATGGAATCTAATGAAAACTTTCCAAGACTTTCAATTAGACAGCCCTTAGCCGTAGTCACTCTGGAGAACACAGCTACTGCATGTCACCACTGTACTGTCTGCCCAGTGCATGGTGTAGCTCCCTTTCTGGCTACTCAAGAACCACTATTATTGCAGTGATACAAAAAAGATTGTATTTCTGTTTGCCAGCCAGAGGAAGCGTGAGGTAAGTGGGGAGATACTGTTTATTAGACAAGAAAACCAAACCAAAACAACCCTAAATGAATCATTATATATTTAAAAGTGCACTGAAAATATTTCCTATTGAACCCTATCTCTCGTAAGTACCAGATTTTAATGTTAAATTATATCCACTTTGAACACTGAGCATATGTAAGCTGATATTAGAGCATTTAGTTTGTCTTGCAGTTTGAAAAGCACATGACACAAGGCAGCATTAACATCTTTCATTGAAGATCTGGTGATGCCATAGTTTTATCATGAAGAGGCAGCTTAGAAATGACATAGTTCAGCAGAAGCCCCTGCAGACTGCCATTACAAGCTTTCTCCAACAAAGTGCTTTGTCATTTGCTAAAGACAAAAGTCAAACTGTTGCCCTACCTCACCACAGTGCTGCACTGGCAATTTGTAATGTTCTTCCCAGATGCAGTTGGACTTTAATAAATTATAGCTCTTCAGAGTTAGGCAATTCTTTGTAATAAAAGCAGAGTTTCATGTTCCATCAAGAGTGGCCACTGTTTAGACTGGTCTTTTCATGCAGACCTGACAACGGCTGATGATATTTTCCAGTTCTCCTGCTTTCAAAGTCTGTGGCAGAGGTTTTCTATAAGAAAGAAAACAAGCATTTACTTTTTTCTTTAAAAAACAGGGAGAGACAATGAAACTTTGGATATGAAATTATTGACGACAACATTGAAATCCTTGGCTCACTTGAGGCATCTTTGTGCTACAGAATGACCCTAAACCTAACAAAGGGGAATGTTTAAACTGAGGGGAATGCGTATGGATGCAGGGAAGTACAGTTTACCTGAACATTCTTCTTGGATTTAACGATGCCAACCAGAAGCTGTAGGAATTTGTGTAGTAGTTGCATGTCCCCCTGCCATGGCACTCTATGAATGGAATGGCTCGAAATTCTTCCAAACAAGATCCAGGAGATGCCAATGCTTGGCCAGAAGCTTCTGAGCCGGCACTTGTATACTGTAACCACCAATACATTTTTTTATGAGAACTTGTCCATCAGCTTTTAGTAAACTGCAGGCAAAAAAAAATCTCCTTCTAAAACATACCATATATTCTGTGGTAAATCTTGGACAAAACAAAATGAACACAGATTAGTTTTATCAAACTTACAACGAAGCACAGAAGCCTTATGAAAATTCAAGCACAGTTATGGCATTTCTTAAGTCCCTGCAAAGGCCTTTTTCTGCTCCATGAAAAGGCATGAAACTGTAACAAGTACAAAGACTAGAAAGTAGCTGTCTTCTGTCCAGTTGAGGACAACAGTAACTGAATTACAAATAAGCCAAATCTCCTATTTTGTGTGTTCATATTCTTTGTTGCATTGATTGCTTCTCCAAACACAAAAAGTAAAGGCAGCTTTTTCCTTCTCTGATGTTGGTAAATGCTTGTAGAAATAGCTCTAAAATAATTTATGACAGTAGAAAATTGGCTAGAAGATACCATTTAGCTTTGCTGATGTTGGAAACAAGCAAATGATTTTAACTATATGCTGCAAAAATTCACTCATTCTTTTCCAAGATTATTGTTATTATTACTTATGGCCAAATCCCAGGAGAGACAACAAATTTCACACTAGCCCTAAAAGGACTTTAGGTCATGCAAAAAAGAGGGGGTTTTAATTCTGCCTTTACGCTCATTGCTGGCATCCCTATGACATCCCACAGGCATGGATAACAAAGACAAAGTGCTACGTCCCCTAGTATAGATACACCCTTATTCCCATACTCAGTTCTCACCTTGCAGGCACATTGTGAACTTTCTTCACTCATATATTGTTATGGCATCAGAATTGCTGAGGCAGTCTTTTGTAGACAGTGTACTGCATTTGTTTTGATTTTGGCTTTCTATGGAGTTCAGCCCCAAGATTTGATTTATAAAAGAACTGCCTGGCATGGAAGTGGGTCAGTTATTTCTGTGTATTTGTGTTCAGGACTGGTTTAACCACTCCACTCCCCAAACCTGTTTCCTGGATCTTAGCATGATGCATGAAAATAAGAGCATGCAGTTATTTTTGTCAGACTAAAATCCTATGGTTCTCCTTTCATCTTTTCCCCCTTTCCTCCCGCCATCTATTTTTGAGGACAGATTAGAATAGTTTATCCTATGCTTCTGGCATTAAATAACAGTTAATAGAACTATTGTCTACTTCTTGGCAAAAAGGAAAAAAAAAAGAATTTAACAATTAGTAAGAAACAAATGAGCTATGAGCAGATGAAAATGCCAATGAAAGTGAGAGGAGATAAAATTAATAATTCAAGTCTTTATATCCTTACCATAACAAAAGAAAAACCCTTCCAGAGAGATATCCAGCCTTCTGGACATGCAGGAACTACCGTTGTTTGGCTGTGAACTGCTATTACCATTGCAGCTCCTTCACAGACAGCACATCTGTAAGAAGAAATACACATGCATTCAGTGCAGATATGAGGGAAAACATGTAAACAGACAAAAACTGTATTTCTAGGATAGTAGCTACCTAGTGGCAGGGCTTACTATAAATGTTAGAACTCACACAGGTTTTCTCTGTTTAGTGAGGAGGTAAGTAAATAGAAGGTAACCCAAATATCTTGCTTTGCAATTGCTTTGCTGTTAGTAACACCAGACAAAAATTGGTAAAAGGTGGGAATTAGTCCCAGAATATCAGAGCTTCCTAATTTTGCCTTTACTGAAGTAACAAGCTAAATTTTACCTTCTTCATGTGCTCACTGCTTTATGTTGTTATGGTTTAAATCAAAGTTCTGTACCTTTATTTGCTAAGATTAGAAAAAGTAATCTTTATTTCCTAAATGAAGAAACTATGAAGCTGAGGTACTAGATTGCAACAACTGGGTAGGGCAGGCTAGAAGACAGAGTGCAAAGCTTGCCTTCCCATCTTTCACTTTGCTACTCTTGGTCTTTCATGCTTTTCGAGTTTTTGCTCTTAAGATGCTCTTCATCCTTCTCAGCTGTTCTAAAGCAACTAGAAAGGGCCACATTTGCACAAAGGTGTTTCATAGCAGAGAACCTTCAGTCCCAATTTACAATGTTCTTCACCCAACTACAGTAAATGTATCACACATAATTGAAAGCAGAACTTGATTTTACTGTATTACAAATAATGAAACTGTCTTTATTTCATTTTAGTCTGCCTCTGATATACGTAACAATAGGTTTTTAAAAAAATATCACTGCAATCAGCATGACTGTGTACCATCTTCTCATGTCAGCTATGCAGATTAAGCCCTGTGGTGGGACCCTAGCTTTAATCTAACTTTTCTTAAGAGTATCACTGAATATCTGACATATTCAGGTGAGTAATCAAAAATCAGGTGGTTAAAAACAGTGATTGTAGTGGCTGAGATGGGCAGGTCTTTGCCTAAGATTTGCCATTCAAAACAATTTATGATGTCTTTGTGGTTCCAGGCCAGAAGAGCTAAAATTCTTATACTCTTACCTGCTTATATGGGGCTCTAGTGCCCTGCCAGAAATCGGTGCCATGTCTACTGGCATTACTGCTGCAGTTGACAGCCAGTATGAATAGTCATTGCGAGAAGCAAAACTACAAACATCATTGGTGCTACAGAATAAGAATGGCATGGTGGTAAATCTCTGCAAGCAGCTACCAGCTGTTCCTAAAAGATAAAAAAGGAGATTTTTGTGACAAATAGGAGATTATATTTAGTGCAGCCAACAGAAGAGACACATGATGGCATCCAATCTTCTATAGTGAGAATTAAAACAGTTGGTAACTATAAAGAGAGAAGTGTCTGTACAGTGGAATTACACGAAAGCAAAATGCTTATGGTATATATAAAAATATGTGTACAAAAAATAAGACCTAACAACAAAATCTGTTAACGTAATATCTTGTTGAATGGTATTGGTCCTTGACACAGTGGCAGGGATTTAGCTGCTTAAACAAAAGCTTCTGGTACCATTTTTGATGCTCTAAAGCACCCCATTTGGTCTCCAAAAAAGCAAGATTCTCTCTCAGATCCTGTGTTGTTACTGTCAGCCCTGTGCAGATCTTGGGGACGTTTATACTAGATATCTATCCAAAAGTAACTGAATTCCTCCTCAAAAATGTCTAGGGATAGCAAAAAGAGAATATAGGAGTGCAGGAAAGAAAGTGCAGGAGTGTCTTTCAAGCCACGATTCCTGAATTGACTCAGAGTCCTGAATTGACTACTCCAGACACTGATGGTTGAAACCAATGTTCATCTTGGACACTTACTGTGAGTTTGGTTTCATGAAGACAACTTAGCATTACTGGACTCTAAAGAAAATTATCTGAAAATTTTTACCAATACAGTACCAAGGTCTTGTCCATGTGCTCGTTCATTTCCTTGTACAAAAAGCAGCGAATAGCCAACATAGATCTGTGATGTCCCATGTGGGCATGAAGGAATCTTTGTTGATTGACTATGCCGTGTAAAGATAAAACCTCTTCTTGTTGGACCAGTAATGATAGTACCTGGTGATCCAGGTAACCCTTGTAGACCTGGAAAGCCAATCAGTCCAGGTTGTCCTGTGGAGCAAAAAGAAATATGACTGCAAATATTGTCATTTTGTTTGAATTTTTACTTCATTTGAATTAGTGGAACCACTTGAAAACTAACAAAAAAATTATCAATCAGAAGATACATCTCAAAAATAGGTAGTATTTGTTGCTAGATGTATTAACTCCTCCACACCTAGCTCAGTTAGCTTTACATTGCATAGTTTCATGGAATAGTGAGATATTTTAAAGAACCGTGGCCATTTTTACCAAAAAAGTTGTAAAGTAAAAACATTTTATGGTGACTAAATAAAAATATTTAGTTCCATTTTGATGTCATATAAAGGCACACTGATACTTAGGGATTTCAAGTGGGTAAATAAATGTGATTAATAACAGAGGAGCACAGTCAAGGCACAGTTTTGTAAATTATTATTTCAGTAGTGAACATGCATCTGTTAAAAGCTAAGAATGTGCTTACATATGCTCGTGGCCTTAAAACTACTGCAAATGTTACAGAATCTCAATAGATGCAAGAGGAAGGATTTACAGAAATCAGGAATGCAGTTAATCTGTAAATTCAGTAGTAGCAGTCAAACAGAGATGTCTGCTTTCCTGTACCTCTTTGTCCTGGAAATCCCCTGTCTCCTTTCGGACCAGGCAGTCCTGGTTGACCTGGATGACCAAAACTTCCTGGTAGACCTTTTATTCCTTTAGGTCCTGAATTGTAATCAAGAAAAAACCAGAATAATATAGCAGTGGTTATTCTAGATTTTAATAACTGTTAATGAATAAAGTTAAAATGCCCATGTAAATGTAGCTATGTTAGAATAAAAACATCAGCATGAATTTACTAAGTTTTGAGACTGTCTGTAGTGTTACTGTAACCATATTTCCTATCAGGAAGATTAGAAGGAAATATTGAATGTATTGCAGAAAAGTATTATTCTCATAAGAAATGTTTACAGAAACCAAAGCAAAGAGCTTTTTCTTTTAGCATGTGTCATACAATAGAAGTATTTAAAAAATATAGGAACAGGCCATAATCATCTTGGTCACGGTTTGTAATCCTATAAATAATGCAGCTCCTTTGTAAAACAACTTTAAGGAAAGTGTAGAAGAACAATTCTTTAGTGCTTGCTTTGTTATGCTGGAGGCAACAGTCTTTCCTCAGTGGCGCATGCCTTCTGGCAAGCCTGCCCCGCTGAGGAGCTCCCTCCTGGGGTGGAAAGCTGTGGTATTGAGAAGGGTGGACAAATACCCACTGCACATGCTACCTGCTCCTTGCTTCCCCATTCCTCACAGCCATGGCAGGCTTCGCTTCTAGTGCCAATGGAGAAGTAGCCAGCCTCTCCTTTCCCTTCCCACCCCCAGACTATGACAGACACAATCACTTTGTAGCACATCTAGAGTACTTCTATTATGAGTGATAATTTACCCCCCAAAATGACAAACATCCTGAGCATGGTTCTGGCTGTATGAAAATGGTGAATGTTTTGATCCAAGTTTACTTTTTATTCCATTATTTTGCTTCGGCTTATGTTGAAGGAGAAACTCACTCACTCACTGACTGCGAGGGTGGAGGGCAGATAGAATGGGACAGGTTATAAGTACAAAGTTGTTAAGAAGGTACAAAGAGCTATTTTTAAATATGGAGAGTTATTTTAAAGACACATCAATTTTCTATGCAGAAGCATGTTTTCCTGCCAAACCAAAATGTTCCACTAAGTACCACACACAAACATGTACAGAGATAAAAATATAAACCACCTTGTAGTCCAGGAATCCCTTGAATTCCTTGATCACCTGGTGTTCCTGGGATTCCCGGCAGTCCAGGAGGACCCTTGCTTCCTGGGACAGAGAATATTCTCCCAGAGACTCCAGGTGGACCTAGCAGCAAAAATATAATGGAGAGCTATTGCTTTATATTAAAAGAAAGCAAGCAAGCTGCAAAGCAAAACAAACAAATCAAGCTAAGTCAGCTGGTATTAGAATGAAAAGGGTTGGTTACCATGCTGGCCCTTTGGTCCCCTTGGCCCTTCTGCACCTTGTGGTCCAGGGGGTCCTTGATTACCCTTTTCTCCTAAAAAAGAAGATTGGAGATACATCTGTCTGGTTCAAAATGTCAAAACAACTGTCAGAGTTTCAGAGGCTTATTTAAAAGTCCATGCAACCCTTCCAAAGAGTTACACAGCCTGTAGACTCATTTGAAATGTGGGAGTGGACTTCTACATCTCTGCTGTTACTGTATAATTTATAGGCCAAGTGCAGTCAATTTATAAGAAGATGTTTCCATGCTATCCTGGTTTCGGCTGGGATAGAGTTAATTTCCTTCCTAGTAGCTGGTATAGTGCTGTGTTTTGGATTTAGTATGAGAATAATATTGATAACACACTGATGTTTTAGTTGTTGCTAAGTAGTACTTACACTAAGTCAAGGACTTTTCAGTTTCTCATGCTCTACCGACTGAGAAGGCTGGAGATGCACAAGAAGCTGGGAGGGGGCACGGCCAGGACAGCTGACCCAAACTGGCCAAAGGGATAGTCCATACCATATGACGTCTTACTCAGTATATAAACTAGGGGAAAGCTGGCTGGGGGCCCACTGCTCAGAAACTGGGTGGGCATTGGTCAGTGGGTGGTGAGCAATTGCATTGTGCATCACTTATTTTGTATATTCTTTTATCATCATTATTATTATTTTCCCTTCCTTTTCTGTCCTATTAAACTGTCTTTATCTCAACCCACAAATCTTACTTTTTTTTTCCCCGATTCTCTCCCCCATCCCAACTGGGGGGGGGAGGGCAGTGAGCGAACAGCTGTGTGATATTTAGCTGCCTGCTGAGTTAAACCACAACACATGCCTCTCTTCATATAATGGCTGGTCCCATAAACGTAGCTTAAAATCTCAACTTCAGACTATGTCCTGTTTATCTTCTGTGGTTTTGTCACTGAGTTTGCAGGTCAAGTGCTGCCTTCAGTGATGCTGTGCAGTTCAACTCCCTTTAAACCCTACTGTCAGTTATGCTGATGGCTGTTAGGAGGGTTGTATAGTTTTTCAAGTGTTTGAAACTTAATAAACAATTCTTTTCACTGTGCAAAATACGAAGTTACATCCAGATTACTCTCCACAGGTCTGCTGGAAATAAAAAAAATACAAATGTATTTTTATGATCAAGTCAGGAGATTTGACTATGCCATGAAATGAGAGCTTTTTACTTAAGAAAATATAATTACTGTCTGTACAGTGACTTTTTAAATTAGAACAAATTTAAAATACACAATAATTAGCATGGAACACAAACCAGTAGGTTAAACAGGTAATGATAATTTTGTGTCTCTGTAAATCATGCAATTGAAAAATGAGAATACTGGAGTAATGCAGACCTATATCAGATTTAAATCACTAGAAAAATGTCTAAATTAAAAAGATTTTTAACCAGCTACTGAATCAACTAACCCTCAGGAACATGAAATTAATGAAGCCAATACATTTAATAGTTCATCTGCTGATAAATTGGTAAATTAGATTATAATTGGGACTATTCTTAGCGCAAACAGAGGACCCAGTGCTCTGTGTTGTAATTATGATTAAATGCTCTTGAGTTCTATAGCTAGGAGGTTGCCAAAAAGTCACATCTTCTAGCAGTGTTGTGACATTTCTAATTAGCAGACTCAGTCCCAAAGTCCTTACACATTATTAGTCACTAAGGACAAACTTATTTTGAATTTGCCCGGAATGGAGGCCATTGAAGTTTCAGACCTTCCTCACTTCAACATCAGTTTGGACATACCCCTGGCATCTAACTCAAAGAAAATGCTCTCTTAGTGAACACTTTCATTTATAGCTGACCTACACCCTGCCCTTGAGAAAAACCTCATGTCTCTAAGACCACACCTGGTTCTATTACACACACACTATTATAATGCAACATGTAAATGACTGTATTTGGGACACAGAATCATATGTAATAAATGATTACCTTTTACACCTGGGAATCCAAGAAATCCAGGGTCCCCTCTAGCACCAGGATAACCTGATCGACCTTCTATTCCCTGCAAATCAGATAACACCAATAATAAACAGGAAGCAGCATCTGCTATGAAGTACATTTTCTTTTTGTTCAGAATACTCAAATCATTATGTTCACAGAATATGCTACAACTAGAATTATCTGCTCCATTTGTGAGCATGTTAGAAATAGTCATATCATTGTTAATATTATTCTGTAATACAGAACAGCCAAGGAAATGACATGCCAGAAATTCACAATAATTTCTTTATAGTCCACTTGAGTCCATAAAAACTGCTTTTCATATCCATTTTAATATCTTTCCTCTATTACAAGCATTTTTTGGGAGGATGTGGGTTTTTTTGTTTTTTGTTTTTCTTTTTTTTTTTCCCTTCTTTTAAATTGTCCTGGGTGTCATTTTCATGGTAAGAGCAAAATTAACAATGGAGTAAAAAACAAGCAATATTCCTTTCACTGACTTTTGGACCAGGAGGACCAATGTTGCCGGCTGGGCCTGTTGGCCCTGGTATGCCATCTGCCCCTCTAACACCTTTGCTTCCTTTCATGCTGGGAGTGGGAAGACCAGGAGGCCCTGGAAAACCAGGAGCACCTGTACAGAAACATCAGAGTAAGTAAAGACTACTGCCAACAGCATTTCACATACATTACATACAATGCAGTACAACATTCAATGACTATAACGGTACTCATGTTTACCACCTCGGTGATTTCCAAGGAAATATATCCCTTTTTAAAAAATCAACTCATTTTTCCGAGCCTACTAATTTAATCTGAGATCAGAGCTGAGTTCTTGCACTCTATAGCACTACAGTTTTTTTTTAATATCCTCCAGTTGTAATTATGCTTGTAATCACACTCAGGCTATCTCACTTTTTTAAAGGTGGACCTCAGCGGCCCTACAGACCGCATGGGAAGAAAGCAAAATAATGCAATAGAGTGGACTGCAAAGGTTAGCGTTACTTTAATTTACATCATACTGCATAGACCATCACGGTGTTTGCAATGGTAACACTGCATTAAATACCTGTTTAATTATGAAGGAACTACCTGTTTAATTATGAAGCTCTCTTGGGGGAAGACCCCTTTCAACCTTGAGTTCTGGAGAGGCTAAATTCTGCTTTCAATTATCAGTATATCATTTCAGATAAATAAGGAGTTATAACAACACACCTGGTCTTCCATCTGCACCAGCAATACCTCTATTCCCTTTTTGGCCAGTAATTGCCATGCCTGTTGCGCCTTGAAATCCAGGTAACCCCACTAAGCCAGGAGGTCCAATGGGTCCTTGATCACCCTGATGACCTTTCATACCTGGTGCCCCAGGAAAACCAGGCAGTCCCATATCCCCTTTGATTCCTGCAAAGTATAAGCATTACATTTAGGGAGAGCTGTCAAGATGGTAAGATGATGTGACTTCACATAATATGTACATTTACTACACCGCAAAGGTGGAATTCAGCCTTTGTTTTTAGTATGGAGAAGTCCCCAAAGCCACTTTGTTACTGTAAAGCACAATAGTTGTGAGAAGACAGGACTCACTGCAAGGTAGTGCACTTTTTTCTTTTTCTTTCCTTTTTTTTTTTTTAAATTTTTTGATTTTTTTTTTTAAAAACTCCACTTCAGAGATTGCTTATACAAAGGAATAAACTTGAGAGAAGGATATAAAGACCAAAGCAGGGAATATTTCTTGATGCGTGAGTAGAAGAAATGCTTCTTTGAACATAAGAACTGACAAATCCTTTTAAACTGAATTCCAGCTAAAAGCATCAATATGGGTACAATAAAATAAGAGACTACTCCAAATGGATATTGTTCTAAGGTTGATCTTAGAGTTGATCCACATATAGAGATCTATATACAGAGGGTATGAAGAAAGAATTTTTTTTTTTTTAAAGTAAAGCAAATCAATGGATTTCTACCAGTACTAGAAATACAATGCAAAACTTAAAAAATAGGAAAAGTCCCCTCAGTCAACTGTTCATCAATGTAAAAGGGGAGATGAACAAAATTAAAATGCAATCACTGTAGCTTTCTTACAATATGCTTGGTATTCAGCAGCATAATCTGTTTTCATTAGAACATACTCCGTTAATCAAATTATGTATCAAAATAAAATTTCAAAAGCTCTAGAATGTGTATGTCACCTTCACAAAACCATAGAAGTTAGCTTCTTTATTTCCCTTTTACAATAGTCTTAACTTTACAAGCAAGAACTCTTCACAATATATAGCACCAAATCATTGATCAAGAGCACAGAATCACTCTTGATTTCCTCTGACAGTCTTAGTGCCATTTCAAGCATCCAAAAGCAGGAGGTGACTTAAAGATGAAGATGATGATTCTGGTATTTAAAAATTAAACGTTCGCTTTCTGAAAAGACAACTCACCTCTATGACCAGGAATACCTCGAAGGCCAGGGATTCCTCTCCCTGGTGCTCCTATAAAATATTAGGCCACATTATACTAAAAGTCCTGAATAATTTTTAGAAAACATCATAGTTGTTTAATATTTCATACATTTCTTCAGAATTCACTGAATCAAAACATAGATTTTAGTTATATGTAAAATATAATTTACTGGTTATTTCCATTTCTTCCACTAAATTTGTAAGTTTTTCGTTATAGTAGGAACTCTTACTGATCAGTCATATTTGAGGTACATTCTACAATAATAAGCTTCGTCTTTTTTCAGAGGAAAAAAACACAGAAGAAAAATCTGCATTTAAGTTAGTTACTAAGAAAAATAGAAGAAGAAATGTAAATACCTAAAAAATAAAATATGTTAACAGTGATTACTTAAAGCTTAATATGAAAAATCTTACTAAATACTATGAATGCCTTCTCAGTATCCTCTTGTACTAATATGCAAAGAAACATTTTCACTGTAAAATATGAAAACACTTTCTGTCAGAATTCAGTGGAGGACTAAATCTATCTGTTGATGACATCAGGAGTGACATTTAAATGAAAGATTTTACAACCTAAGGGCCAGGTTACGGAAACCTTCGCTATTTTTGTAAGTAAACACTGTGATGCGTTTTATCTTATTTCCGCATAATAAAGAAGACTCCTTTAAAAGGATTTTGGTTCTTTTCATCTCTTTGAGATTAAACACATATGAACTGTTAGCAGCAATAGTTTGGCTCTTGCAGACATTAACATTTTTAGGGGAAGTTACAACAAATCACATGTATAATAGAGCAGTGACATACGCATTTGGGTTGTTGACAGCATGTACAACAATTATATAGAAAAACCTGTGAATATGAAAAACCTTCTACTTATAAACTTATTTTTTTCTCCATAGAGGCTCCTTATTAATCCTTCCCAAATAATCCTTGTCAGTTTAACTAGAGAAAAAAACAATTATAAAATAAAATGAAAATATTTCACTGGTGTTACCTGGTTCTCCCTTTACTCCTGGGGGACCAGGCATACCATCCTGACCTTGATTACCTCTTTCACCAACAAGTCCATTTTTTCCAGGGTCTCCAACAGCACCTATGAATTATAAGGGACCACAACATCATTTTCACTTCTATTATTTTGCATTTCAAAGGCAGAAGGTATAAGTCCCCTTCATTAAAATTTAATTAGTTCAGCCACTTCAAAGATAGATGTAACCTGTGTTGGTACATAAACATTTGTAAAGAGCAGCATATAATTTTTATTGAGCTCACTGGACTTCAATGGATTTAACACGCCCATTATTTTCACAGGCAGTAGCTTTCTGTCTTTCAAAGACATTTTAGGACCCTGCCTTTGATTTAACCCACGCTGGTGCGAATCCACACAGGCAGCATAGTTTCTCTCCCTGGCTTTATTACAAATTCAAGGTTTCTCTAAACAGGGAGTAGATTCTGATCTTTGCTAACTGCTGATACGTCAGTGCAAGTTCACTAAAGTCTACAACACTACAACATCATAATTTTGATGAGGATCTCTGAATACAAGAGCATTCAATGATCTTTTTGAAGACAATGACTGGCACTCACTTTAATAAAGTCTGCATTGCATACCTCTCTGTTGCTGCACATTTACACACTCCCCCTTACGTATATTTTGAATGGTTTGATCTTTTCTGTTGCTTTAACAAACAACCGCAACTCTGTTCCCTCTTTCCATTCTAATTCATTTTCTTCTCCTCCTCATCTAGCTACATCTTAGTTTATTATTCTCTTTTAGGAGGTCGAACAAGCCTTTCTTACAATTGTGTGGATATCACACCTTGGATGCAAAAAAAAAAGGTAAAAAACTTTACAATAGTGAAACAAAATTAAAACCTCTTACCTCAGCTGAACTGATAACATTGAAAACAGGCTGTTAAAGACCTTAGCTGGAACCAGAGAAGGTAAACAAAGCCTTGAACTAATATAAACTGCAACTGCATCAGTTAAATTCTAAAAAGCTCAGAAGAACAAGAACATCAACTGCCTCATTACAAAGAAAATAACAAACCAGGGGGCAGTGATTTGGGAGAGATGCTATATAGCATACCAGGAGGGCCTGTAACACCCTGTTGTCCTGGGCGGCCCTGCCGTCCTTTAAGACCAGTATCTCCAGGAGGTCCAAGCTTCCCTGTAAGAAGAAAGAGT